TCATTCTACAATGAGGTTGTAGTAATATGCAGTATGCAAATTGACCAATCACGATCGATTGTTCTCTTTACGATCGAAGAATAATCGACTGTGATTGGTCAATTTGCCTACTGCATACTACTACAACCTCATTGTAGAATGACCTTTATATCTGGACAGCCAAAAAATTTCGAGGACAAAGAATTAGAGGCATTACTCGAAGAAGATCAGAGTCAAACGCAAGAGGAGCTTGCAGAATCATTGGGAGTGACTCAACAAACCGTTTCCGTACGATTGAGAGACATGGGATTTATTAAAAAACAAGGAAATTGGGTGCCTTATGAACTGAAACCGCGACATTGAAAGGCGATTTTTCACTTGCGAGCAGCTGATTCAAAGGCAACAAAGAAAAGGTTTTTTGCATCGGATTGTAACTGGAGATGAGAAGTGGATATTCTACGACAACCCCAAGAAAAAAAAATACTACACCAAGCCCGGTCAATTGTTGCCATCGACCTCAACATCAACACCAAAGCCGAACATACATGGTTCGAAGATCATGCTCTGTATCTGGTGGGACCAAAAGGGTTGTTTACTATGAGCTGCTGAAACCTGGAGATCCCATTACGGGCGATCGGTATCGGCTACAATTGATTCGTTTGAATCAATCGTGCATTGCGAGAAAAACGGCCGGAATACGAGCAAAGACATGATAAAGTTATTCTTCTTCATGACAACGCTCGGCCTCATGTCGCAAAAGTCGTAAAAAAATATTTGGAAACGCTCAAATGGGATGTTTTACCGTACCCGCCGTATTCTCCGGACATTGCTCCTTCTGATTACTGGTTGTTCCGAAGGATGCAGCACGATTTGGCAGGTCACCGATTTACTTCTTTCGCAGAAATCGAAAATTGGCTCTAAACTTGGATCGCTTCAAAAGACGAGTCATTTTTTCGAGATGGAATTCGAAAATTGCCTGAGAAATGAGAGAAAGTAGTAGCCAGCGATGGAAAATACTTTAATTGATCTGTTCATTCATTTTGTTTTGAAATAAAAACATTTTTTAACACAAAAAACAGACCGAACTAATTTGTACTCCCAGTACATTCGTAATCCGTAACAAGAGCAGTCAAGGTAATTCCCAGTCGGCACAGAGCATTAGTTCCATTACATTTATATTAAAATTTCGCACTCAACAATATAAATATAATAACACCATGTGTGTTATATTACATTTATATTGTTGAGTGCGAAATTTTAACATACGAAATTTTAACATACGTAAATATAATGTTCTGTGTCGACTGGGTTGTTTCCTTCTCTAAATATTTTGGAAGCTTTGTTTCATGATAGTGTAGTTGTTCGAGATTCGAACGGGAAAATTTGCCTATTTCTAAAACGTTCTGGCAGAAGAGACAAGACCGAGAGAGACTCGTGATCACGCTCCACACGATGCGTCGTGCGGCGTTATTCGTTGGATGAATTGTTCTCTTGAATGCGGCACGCGTTAAACGCGCGTTCGCACAATATTCCTTCTAACGGACTCGCGTCCAGATATTACAAGTAATAATGAAAAACAACACAACCCTTCTCGTTCGAGAAGCTTGTCTCTCTTTCCTGCTAGCACATTCGACTGCGATTGTCCGAGATACGGCACTTCAATTCGGCGATAAAGACGAACTCACGTCTCTTCGATGTACGAGCTTTTCTCTTAAAGGTCTATCGACTATTAGCAGACTAATTATGTTATATGTGTCATATGTTCGAAGTGGATATCGTTCTATTGATTGCTCGTCTATATTAATATTCATTTCCCAAATGTGACTTGTAAGAACAGTTGTGTTTGCGATCCGTCCAAGGCGCCGCTCTTTGTGTCGACAAAATCGAGGATTCTCGATATCACGAGACATCCTGCGTGACTCGCACGTGAGAACGCCGTGCATGTTTGCTATCGAGCACCGCGTTGTTATTGTCGCGTTTGGTCCGCATGTGACCGCCAAATATGGTCACGTTTTCGGCAAGAGCGGTTACCAATCTTCTCCGAGCGACGGAAAAACTAAAAACAATGTAAGATCGAAGTGACGAACGTTTTCGGCTCCTCGCTTCGAACAGAATCCTTCGTCAAGCGAAACCGCTCGCAAGTATTTTTACAACTCGTTCCGCTCCGTTGTTCGTTCGGTTATCAAATTCGCTGCCCGACCGCTCCGGTCGGACCTCATCAGACGAACTACGAGTGCGGCCTCAACGCATTGCGATTCGAGCGGACGCGCTTCATACGATCAATCGACCAGAATTGTCAAAGTTTATTTTGTATTATTTTATATAATAAAACTGGGATCGTGTTCGAGTGGTGCTCGCGCTTGAACTGGCGAGCATTGGCCTCCCAGCGCCTCGACGAACGTCGACGCTTATTAGGAAGGAAACGGAGGACCGATCCCACGAGAAACCAAAGCGACGATCATCTTCCTTTCACGACCAACCCCGCGCTCATTGCTGAGCCGTCCCGGCCTCTTGCTCGCTTTGCCAAGGAGCGAACAAGTTGGTATGGTGTTCTCTCCGATTTCTACTTCTTCAGGGAGTTTCCATTTCTATATGTCTCCTTTTCTTCACTTGTTTTACATTTTCATTAACATGTTCGCTCTCGAAATTAATTGGAACTGCATTCAATTTTAAACGTTTCTTCGTGTTTGTCAGAAATGATGCATCATTGAAATGTGTAACGGTCATACCTCCGTGTTCGGTTTTCTTATCGATTCGACCCTGCGCTTTTATCGTTTGCGGCAAATCAGGCGCAGGAATTTTATTAGGAGAAGGTGTGTTGTGTTGTTGGTTTCTTTTCTTTCCAATAATTATAACTCGGGGTATGTGTGTATAACAAGTGACCGTTTATTCGTCTTTTCTTCCACACGCGGCGACCACGTGCCGTCGCGTGATGTCTCGCCGTTTGGGGGCCGCTGTTGTCGCACGGCTTCTGTTTTGCTGCGGACACAGGAGACAATCGCTTGTGTACACTATGTATATCGGTGAATAACACTGCGAATCCTTTTAATCACGGAATGATTACTAAGTAGTCTGTAACGTCCCACCATATTAAAATTCCCTATCTTCTCACCAAAACTCACCATACCTTTTCCTACCCAATCAAATCCTTACCTATCATCGACTAATCCAACTGCAACGCCTCCTACAAACACCTCTGCAATCAACAGGTACCTCTGCCGTCTTTTATCGTTAATAAAATATAATATCATTAATACTCGAAACTATTTACTGAATCATCATCTATCTTCTTCTTTCTCTCTCTTCCTTCTACCTTCTTGCTTCGTTTAGTAAGCGATAGATTATCAAACAACTAAATAACACAAAAATAATCATAAATAGCATATTTTGAAATAAAATTAATATTAACATAGGACTGAAGCAGACATCGACATAGTAAATATATAAAATAGGAAAAGAGAGAATAAGAAAATTTAAGAAATAAATTTAGAGCTAGCTTATAAATTCATTTGTCTCGGGGACTAAGAACGATTTCGTTCGGGCACAGCCGCGCACATATTGGAATGTGTTTATGTTATAGATATCATCGAGTGATAGCTGTCCCACGTATTGCGAATTAAACAAAGACCTGAAATAAAAACTCGAAGAGGAAAATAATTCCCTTTCTTTCTTCTATTTTTCTTCTTTTTAAATGATATTAAATAATTGCCATCATATTTCGCAAATAATTCCTCAAATATTATTGTCAAACCGCCTATCCTAATGTATATGCGCTTTAGAATTGTAAGAGGATCTATTCGTATTATTTAACTTTAATGATTACTACGCCCGAATGAAATAATTCTTTTAAGTTTCCAAATTCTTATATTATACCAAAAGAAATCTGTATCAGACGTTACCTTCTTGCCTCGAATTTAATGATGATAATGGGCTTCTTCGCTGCGTTGAAACAGAAGCTCTTCGTTGATCGGTTGCAAAGTGGTGAACGTTAGACACGTGCAATAAAATGTCGCTGATTCCCACGCGACAGAAAGTTGCGATAAAATGCGTTTGGATACGGTACAGGAGTTTCAAATCACTAGATTTGTTTTCTTAAAAACAGCTCGTTTATATAATCAACAAAAAAAGTGAGTCTCTTGCGAGAATCCGTATAGAGAGTGGGAGACACCTAACTTAGTGCTGCGGTGTACCGGACTTGTGTAAAGAATGACGACGTTGTCTCCTCGGATCGCCTTAGCCTTAATATTTATAGTTCGCGAAAAACCAACCGTGTTCGAGCGGGATTGGTTTAATCTGGATTCACGTTCAGACTTGAAGAGTAACGAATACGACCGTCCTTCGATGTCACATGAAAGAAAACAATGTCTTGTGCTCGAGTTTTTAATCAGTATTCCAATCAGCATTGGATGCTATTGTTTTGACGAATTTACACGAGCTAGGCTCGGCCAACTAGTTTACATTGTTAGCTGTTCATAAGAAATGGAACAACAACAACTCGGAATGTGACATCGAAGCGTCAATATTAGCACTTCTTGCAAATCAAGCCATCCTCTCGAGAAACTTCCAGAAATGTGAAATTTAGATTATCTCGAGAGTTTGTTTTTATACACAGAGTTCACGCACTCGCTTCTTCCATACGAAACAAAATCAATAACAACATTTCCATTTCTTAGTAAAACAATTTTATTAATAAATCAGCCAACAACGAGACAACTGAATTACTAAACGCTACATATGATTAAGTATAATTTTAATTACTAGATAATAACATTTTTATATTTTTTAACCAATAAATAATGAAGGGTGAATTAGGAAAAGACGCTCAATTGATATCCATAGTGTCGGGCTTGGGTATAAAAAGGGCTCGGCTTTTCGCGCGCTAGTCAGTCTCTAGGCAGTTTCTCGGCAGTCTCTAGGTAGTCTCTCGTCAGTCTCTAGGCAGTCTCTCGTCAGTCTCTAGGCAGTCTCTCGTCAGTCTCTAGGCAGTCTCTTGTTAGCCTCCAATTAGCCAACAGACAATCTTTCGCTGAACTTCTTGTTAGCCGATTGCCAAGGGGTCTTGAGCCTGGAATCAAAAGGTCGGTATTAAAGATTATTGTTCTTGGGACTCCGTCTGCAAATGCTAAGACGTTTGTTAAGACGTAAAATCCAAATCATTAAAGGTCGAACGAGCCTCTTTTCCTCATAATGATATTATAGAGAAACATTTCTTTTACTTGAATAAGTATTGAGCCAGCTATTAACTACATTAAATTTAGTGTATGAATTTTTAAACAATATAGAGTAATTTCATAATATATATATATATATGTGTGTACAGATTTCTTTACCTCTCTTCCCTCTTATCATCTTCATTCTTTTTCCAGAACGCCGTGCTTGAACCACGAGCACCGTTCTTCTTTTCTTTACCTTAAGAGTGTTGTGCTTGAACCACGAGCACCATTCCTCCCTTTTTTCCCAGAACGCAGTGCTTGAACCACGAGCACAGTTCTTCTCTTCCTTACTTTAAGAGTGTTGTGCTTGAACCACGAGCACCATTCGCCTTTTTATTTTTCAAACCACGTTCCTTCTATCTACTCTATTATAGATATTGTTAAAATAAATATTACCTAAAAATCTCTCATGCCGAAAAGAACAAGAAGAGCCGGACGGCGGATTCAATTTAGACGTTTGTTGAAAAGTTATTATAATCCAGGCACGCTCGACCTGGCTGTTTTCAAAACAGATCCATCTAAATCTTCGGTCCCGAGAATAAAATCTGAAATAAAGGGAAATATATTTGAAGTTAAATTCAACACTAGCGAGAATACTATTATTTTTAAACCTAACAGTAACCCACCTCCAAAGGAAACAGATTCAAATAATAAGGATTTGGACAAGAACAGCGCTGATCCGAAGTAAACCAAACAAATCTAGACATTGCATGTTCTATGCTTGTCCAGGACGTAACAAGTCCCCAAGCGATGGAGGGCTCAAGGCTTATATACAATGGTTGATCGGGACTAATTTCTATACAGATTCATATATCAGGTGTGTCGGTAATTCCTTTCTGGTTTTTTCGCTAAAGAAAACACGTTATTTACAATAGATAGTTAAAATATATTTATTCAAAGTATTGGCCATTTGATTCTATACATTTTGCCCATCTCTCAGGCAATTTATGGATGCCATTCCAAAAGAACTGTTTCTCCTTTGAGCTAAACCATTCATCGAGCCATTTTTTAACTTCTTCGAAATCGGCGAAGTACTGCTCTGCAAGCGCGTGCCCCATCGATGCGAAAAGGTGGTAGTCGGATGGAGCCAGGTCTGGAGAGTACGGCGGGTGCGATAAAACTTCCCATCCAAGTGATTTCAACACTTCTTTGACTGGTTTTGCTGTATGAGACGGCGCGTTGTCATGCTGCAAAATCACCTTATCATGTCTTTGAGCGTATTGTGGACGTTTTTCGATCAATGCACAGTTCAAATTGATCATTTGTTGTTGGCAGCAATCAGTATTAACTGTTTCTCCAGGTTTCAACAGTTCATAATATACGACACCAACCTGGTCCCACCAGACACAGAGCATGGTCTTGCGACCAAAGCGATTTGGCCTTGCAGTCGATGGGCTGCCTTCGCCAGGTGATAACCATGATTTTTTTCGCTTGGGATTTTCGAAATAAATCCATTTTTCATCACCCGTTACTATTCGATGCAGAAATGACTTCCTTTCATACCTTTGAAGCAGCATTTCATTGACGATTTTTCGATTTTCCAATTGCCTGTCATTCAATTCATGTGGCACCCATCTTCCCATCTTTTGAATCTTTCCCATCGCTTGTAATCGTTCACAAATTGCTACTCAGCTCACATTCAACTTTTCTGCCAATTGTTTTTGAGTTTGTGTTGGGTCTTCATCCAATAACTCCTGCAATTCCGCATCTTCAAACGTTTTCGGCCTACCAGGACGTTTTTTGTCTTGAACGTTGAAATCACCACATTTGAATTGTCGAAACCACGTTTCACATGTTCTTATGGTTGGAGCATGCTCACCGTAAGTCTCTACGAGAAAACGATGACTTTCAGCGGCTTTTTTCTTTTGATTAAACAAGAAAAGTAATGCGTGCCGCAAATGCACGTTTTCAGGCACAAAACTCGACATTTTCAAAAAATTATTAATCTATAACGCTGTTATTTTGGCGGAACGTAACTTGTGTAGTTTTGAGGTTAATGTCAGTAGAATAAAATGACATATGTATCAAATCATAACATTGCATACTTATAGCTAGTGACATCTGTTACAAAAACCGGAAAGTAATTACCGACATACCTGGTATGTATAATGAACGTAAGATGAGTAGTCGGCTGCCCCGAGAAACGGGGATCCTTAGTGTATTTCGCCGGTACGTCGGGCGAGATTTAAAAGGCCGTCGCGGTCTCTGGCTGCCGGACACAAGAAACACCGCAAAAACGTGTCGCGTCACACGGTTTTTATGTGCAGGACTCGGTCGCGAGCTGAGGCGTACGGCTCGCGGCTAGGTCTCGAGCCACGGAAATAATTAGCATGGATCTTTAGTGCGTTGGCAAATCAAGCCGAATATAAGGCAAATACCGGGACGGGGTTGTACTTCCTATTTTACGCGGGGAGCGAGAGGCGATGGGTGGAGATCCGGTCGGTCCGAGGCGGGCTGGGGCTTCTAGCGTCTGCCGCCGGACCGGGGATGGTGATTCCGCCCTGGTCTGCCTGGTCACTGTTGCCGGTAATCCTATATGAGAGAGAGAGGAGGGAAGAGAAAAAAACCAAATATCCAATTATGAGAACGTTCTGGAAACCACCCCGGAGCAACGGCAAACTCGCCGTCCGATCTCTATATCGCAAAGACGACACAATAACGGGAGATCGTTCCAGAAAGCACACCGGAGCAACGGCAAACTCGCCGCTCGGTCTCTAGATCGCAAAGACAAGGAGTAATCGTGGTTGCCGACGATTGCGGCGGTAGATTACTTACTCGATCTGCTGGAGGCTTTCTGTAGATTCTCTGATCCTTCTGAGGAGGAACGATCTGATGAGACGGAGCTCCGAAGACTGTCTTCTCGTCAAATTCTGCCGGGATTATATACCCGTGTTTGCTTGCCTTCAGTTCCTTTCGTTGCTTTTTCGTCGATTAATCCGATTCTGATCGGAATTAATCGTGAGGATGTGGCTAGTGCCGATTATTTTGTCGGCGATGCCGCGTGTATCGTTCAAGAGCCGAAGGTTCCCGAGCGTAGCTGCCTGTTGTTTGGCCGCGGTCGGGTGAGCGCTTGATGAGGCGCGGTGGCAGCGCGGTTGGGGGTGCGCGCTCAGCTGACTGCCGCGTGATGTTCAGCGGCAGCCAGCGTAACGATACGAAAAAGATATAATGAATCGTTACATCACCCCCCCCTCCTTTTTTGGACGTGCAACGTCTTACTCGGCGATGCAGTTTACACTGCGAAGACGTCCTTTCCGGTGGAAGCGTAGGCTCCAGCGGCCCGATGATGTTCAGAGACAAAATTTTCGTGACACCACTACTGAAAAGTATGGGACTTCCCACAGTTCCCCGGTTGGTAAGGTAACCGCGACCGGTGGTGGCAAGACCGGTCCTTGTACGGGCAGTTGAATCGGTGGCGGGATCTCGGCTCGAGGCGTCGGTGGGATCGTTGCGAGGCGGATGTTTCCGATAAAAGGCTCGTTGGATCGCACGATGGGCGCCGGCCGGACTACTGGTATGGCCCTCGGTTCGTCGTCGGTGAGTGAGGGCATGCTGCGGAGCGTCATCGGGGGTGCGATGGTCTGTTCATCTAACGTAATGACGGGGATGGAGATCCCCGTTGCTGTTGGCTACCTCGGCGGTTGGGCCGTTGTCAAACGGATCCCGCGTTGGGCGGCGATGGTGGGCCTACGAGCCAAGTAGACTAATCCGGGGAGCGCCGGCCGTATCTTAGGGCCTCTCCTGGGCCTATTGGTGCTCCCGGGCAGTCGTGGTGGCGGGTTCCGCAATTTGGTTCCCGGTTTTTGGATGATCTCGTTTCCGTGCTGGCCGGTCCTGCTGGGGCGAGATGCCTGTTTCCCGGGTGGTCGGGAGAGTGGTGCAAGGGCGGAGGTTCACTGGACGGGCCTGGCAGTGGTCCCGGCGCAGCGGGACATATGACGTCGGGTGGTGTTACTGAAATGTCCGTTTTGCCGTTGGCATTCGCCGGCGTGGTATTGGTGTAGGCTGCTTGGGCATTCTGGGCCACCCGTTGCCATACTTTGGCGGCGTCGTCGTCAGTTCTCAGTAGGATCTCGGCGAGCTCCTCAATATTCAATTGTCCAATTCCATGTCTGGATATCGACTCTCTCGCGGGCCATGTTCCTCCCGTTCTTGTAGTTTCGCGTCGGGGAGCCGTGGTAACATTTCTTTGTCTCGAAATACACGTCAGTCTTGTCGTTGTTTTTGTTCGTTGTTTATTGTTATTATTGCATGCTATTGTTAGGTTGCAAACGGCTTTGGTTGGTCTGTTGTTACCGCTCGTAAATCGCGTACGTATATGTTCCGATAATATTTACCTCGTTCGTCTCGCAGGTCGACGATTACAGGAGAATGTATCTTTCTCACGGTCAGAGGCCCGATATATTTCGGTGCTAATTTAGCGGTGAATGCTTTGCTTTTATCCGATTGCAGGTGTTCCTTTTTCCACACGATTTCTCCGAGCTGTGGCCGCAATGCTCTTCTTCGTAAATTGTAATGTGTTCTTGTTTTGAAAGGCCTGTGCGAGATGCATTTCCACAAGCCACGAGGTTTCTTTCAATATTTTGCCACGGTGGTGGGTGGTGGAACTGGGAATTTGTCCCTCCGGTCTTCTCGGTGTGGTCGGGCCAGTTCTCGGCCGTGATTAAGAAAGGCCGGGCTGAATTGGGTAACGTCGTATTGAGCGGTATTATACACAAATCGCAGGCGGCTAAGTGCTCGTCCCAGCGGTGATATCGTTTATCGACGTACTGCGCGATCATAATTTTCATTGTGCGATTCGTGCGTTCCACTGGATTGCACTGCGGAGTAGATAGGCGTCGTGCGGTGGCGGATTCCAAAGTTTTTACGCAATTCCTTGAATTCCTTTGCACAAAACTGTGGGCAGTTGTCGGAGGTGATGGTGTCGGGGCATCCGTGTCGATAAATAATGGTATCGACGATGCTGGCTATGACCGCCGAGGCTGTTGCTACTCGGAGTGCTTTTACCTCCAGCCATTTTGTGAAGCGATCTTGCATGGTAAGTAGCCACGTGTATCCTTGACGAGATCGCGGCAATGGTCCCACAAGGTCAATGGTTACCTGTTCCCATGGTTGCTTCACTGCAGTGGCGTGCAGCAGGCCGGCGGGTTTTTGGCAAGCTTTATGTGCCAAATAGGTGGGACATCTTCGCACATACTGCGCAATGTCGCGGGCCATGCCGGGCCAGTAATACTGTCCGGCGATTCGTGTAATGGTCGATACCCTTGGCGATACCCAGATGTCCAGCTGCGAGATCGTCATGCATTCTGGTAAGGGTTGCTGCCCGTTCGTGAGTGGAGAGGCATCGCTTCCATTGCGAGGCGGTCGGACATTCACGGAAATTCAAACTGTGCAGAAAATGACGGAATACGTGGCCGCCTTGTAAGGCATAGTCGGGATGCTCGTCGGGGTGCCTGATCACCTGTGCTTTCAGGTTCTCGTATCATGGGCAGGCTGGCCTGGTGGTGACGGTGGCCACCTCGGGTTCTTGTGATAAGGCATTGGCCACTTGCTTACTTGTTCCGCGCCGATAGCGAATCTCGAAATCGTACTGCTGAAGTTCAAATTCCAGCGTCCGAGACTGCCGGTTGGAGATTCCATTTTTTGTAGCCATTTCAGGGACTGGGTGGTCGATGAGGACGGTGAAGGAGTAACTTTCGAGATATTCTCGCATCCTTCGAATGCCCCAG